GATGAAGAAGTTCTCTCAAGGGCATGAGCAGGCGAGCCTGAGTGAGAGGGCAAAAACTAATTGAAAAATCTGAGGCTGGAGACAGAGCTCAGCAGCTAAGAGCACGTGCCGCTGGTGCAGACGAACTGGGCTGTATTCATTCTCTGCACCCTCACTGGACTGATTGGAGCCCTTTGTGACTCCATTTTCAGAGGATCCAACAAACACCTTCTCCTGGTCTTTGAGGGCATCAGGAATGTGCACGATGTGCATACATACATGCAGGCAAACATTCACACACATAAAACCAAATAAACCATGAGCCAAGAGTGGTCCACACCTCTAATCCTAACTCCTGAGAAACAGAGGCAAATGGATTTCTGAGATTTGAAGTCATCCTATTCTATATTGTGTATTCCAGGACAGCCAGGGCTACATCACAAATACATGCAGTCATTCCCTGGAATGTCAGATGTTAGCCCAAGACTTGTGTTTTTGGTGGTGGTAGGCAGGGAGCCCTTTCCAGGACCCTCCTGTTGTGCTGTAAACACACATGGTGTGTTTATCTCTGAAGAAAGACTCCCTGAGACCCAGAGTCGCATCTGTGTCCAGATCCTGCAGGAGGTGTGTCTACCATATCAGAGCAGGTACTGCTCAACAATGCCAGCTTCAGCGTGGGTCACGTCTGCAGAGGGAAGCTGAGTCGACACCACCCTGGAGAGAGACTGCAGTCTTGAAAAGTGCAGAAATCAATAGTTGCTGAGTTGGTCTGGCTGACTTTCAAACTGAAACATCCTGATATGGAAACACATTTCGAGGTAATTTATCTGAGCTGATGGGTCTTTGTCACTGGTGCCTTGCTCTTCACTTTGGAGCTTCTCCACTCTCAAGTCTACTCATACCCACTCACATAAGTCGGAGGGTGTTTCCTTTGAGTCTCATCTTCTCAGAGTCTTCACTGACCATTCTCCTCTCTCTGTCTCTGTCTCTGTCTCTGTCTCTGTCTCTGTCCCTCCCTCCCTCCCTCCCTCCCTCCCTCCCTCCCTCTCTCTCTCTCTCTCCTCTCTTCTCTGTTTCTCTGTAGCCCAGACTGCCCTTGAATGTACCTGAACTCCTCATCCTCCTCAGACTCCCAAGGGCTAGAATTATAGGTGTATGTCCTTGGATTTGCTCATTTATTTATTTAAAGATACTACTTATAATTTTAAAGATGGATTTGTCTATTATGTATATAGTGTTCTGCCTGTTTGTATCCCTGCAGGCCAGAAGTGGTAACCATATCTCATTATAGATGATTGTGAGACACCATGTGGGTGTTGGGAATTGAACTCAGGACCTCAGGAAGAGCTGCCAGTGCTCTTAACCTCTGATTCATTTCTCCAGCCCTAGATTTGTTCTTTTAAAAATAACATTTTTTGTTTATTTTATTCATTTTACATACCACCCACAGTTCCTTAAAAATGGCCTTACATTTCCTGATGTATTTATTTCCTGATGGTGTGTGTGTGTAGGCGCACATGTGTATGCATGCCTGTGGGGGTCAGAGGATAACCTGTTCTCAGTCTTCACAGTTTCAGTAAAAAGCACCTTTACTTGCTGAGCCATCACACAGGACCTGGGTTTGCTTTGGTTTCTTTCTTTTTTCTTTTTTGGTTTTTCAAGACAGGGTTTCTCTGTGGCTTTGGAGGCTGTCCTGGAACTCACTTGGTAGTTCAGGCTGGTCTCGAACTCACAGAGATCCGCCTGCCTCTGCCTCCCGAGTGCTGGGATTAAAGGCGTGCGCCACCAACGCCCGGCATTCTTTCTTTCTTTTTTCAATTCTTACATTTTCCCCCTTTAGGAAAAGAGGACCCATGCCACACTGCAGAAAAGAACTTGTGAGAGTCTATTCTATGTTTCCATCATGTGGGTCCTGAGGATCAAACTCAGGTTGTTAGGTCAGGTGGTGGTGATGCACACCTTTAATCACAGCACTCAGGAAGCAGAGGCAGGTGGATCTCTGTGAGTTTGAGGCCAACCTGGCTTATAAAGGGAGTTCCAGGACAAACTCCAAAGCTACACAGAGAAGCCCTGTCTCAAAAAACAAACAAACAGACAAAAAAACAAGGAGAACATGTTAGCCTGGCCTGGTGTGGTGGTACAATTCCATACTCACAGGTCTAGGTCCTAGGAGGTAGAGTCAGGAGGATCAGGAAAAAAATCAACGCCAGTCTCCACTCCATCCAAGCCAACTACAAAAGGGGGAGGGAGAGGCAGAGAAATCTGTAATAGGAAACCCTCCCAAGTCAAAGCCTCCACAACCCACATCATATTGCAAGCCAGGATACCACTGAAGCCAAGAGAAATGACTCAAAGCAATCACATTCACAATAGACTAATGAAATCATTTGCATAGCAATTTATTCATGTATAATAGGGATAGTGTTCTGAGACCTAAAATGTCCATGTTCTGTCACCAGTGACGCTCCTTCCCCTCTGCTGGAAGGCAGAGTCTATAAGCAAGAGGCTGGGAGAGCACAGAGTCAGTCTTGAGGACTACTTCACCTGGCCATGGCATTACCCTGGTGACCAAACCCATATCAAAGCAAGCACCTGTCAAAGTCTACATTAGAAAAAATTCTTTGTGCTGGTCATTGAACCAGGATCTTAGAAATGCTGCAGCTACCACATCCAAATTTTCTTCTTTTTCCTCTTTGGTTTGTTTGTTGAGACAGGGTTTCATGTAGCCCAGGTTGGCCTTGAACTCCTGATCCCCTTGCTTGCCATTCCCAAGTGCTAGCACTATCAGCATGTGCCACCTTGTCAGGCTCCAGTCTTTGCCTGTTATTTTCTCTGCTTTGCCCCTGTTTTTCTGACTGTAATGGAGATCTCGTGGAATATTCTTTCTCTTTGTTTCTCAGCCCAGTTTTTCTTTTCCTCTCTCTCCATCTTTGTTCCTCCTTTTCTTTGCTTCTTTTGGGTGTCCCCTAGTTGCTTTACATGCTGTCCCCGCTCCCCGTGATTCTCCTCTGCTCTGCCTTATCCTCTGCCGCACTGCACATCTGATGCTGACTTGACCCCCTTCCCACCAGTCTCTGCCTCCCTGTTACTGTGCCTGTCGGCATCTTACTCAGCCGCCTGTGCTTTGTCTCCCTGCCATCTCCAGATCAGCAGGCTTCCTGTTTCTATACAGCAACCCCCCTCCCGCCTCTGCTTCTCAGGCCCCTCCCTCATCCCCCCTTTTCCTTCCCCACCTCTCTCTCACTCGGTTATCTCTCCATTTGCCACTAATCACCTCTATCTCTCCTGAGTCTTATTTCAATATTACCAAGTCTAGACTTGCTGGGCCTTCCTCTCTTGGGGTCCCTTTCTGTCCCACTTTATTCCTGTTTTTTTCTGCCTTCTTTGTGATCATTTCATCAACGCCATGATGTGGGTTCTTCTCAACCTCTGTAGCAACATTTCTCAATATGTCTGCTGAAGCTTTGCTCTTCCCTACCCTCCAACTCTGTTTGCCTGGCTTCTGGCTTCTCTGTGGGGTTTAATCTTTTTCTCTTCTACCCTGACCGCTATCTGTGTACTTCTGTTTCCCTCATCCTCTTTGTCTTTTTCTCCCTTCACTTTTTATAAAGCATTGCCTTTTTTGTTTTTTTGTTTTTGTTTTTCGAGGCAGGGTTTCTCTGTATTGTTTTGAAGGCTATCCTGGAACTCGATCTGTAGACCAGGCTAGTCTCTAACCCGTCTGCCTCTGCCTCCCAAGTGCTGGGATTAAAGGTGTGCACCACCAACGCCCGGCCCAGCAGTTTGTTTTTGTTTTTCCTGGTTTTTCAAGACAGGTTTCTCTGTGGCTTTGGAGGCTGTCCTGGAACTCGCTCTGTAGACCAGGCTGGTCTCATGGTTTTGGTTTTTCGAGACAGGGTTTCTCTGTGTAGCCTTGGCTGTCCTGAAGCTCACTCTGTAGACCAGGCTGGCTTCTAACTCACAGAGATCTGGCTGCTTCTGCCTTCCAAGTGCTGGAATTAAAGTCCTGTGCCACCAACACACGCCTTTTTAAAAGCCCCTCCTGCCTCTTGTTTTTGCTCCTGTATCTTTTCTGTGGGTTGTTAAGGGTTATCACTTTCTGCTCCACTATTCAGCACAAAGTAACCTTAATCTGCTCTACAGCAGTTCCTGTATCTGGACCTTCAGACTAGACCTGCAATAGCAGACTTGCTGCAGAGACAGGGAGGAGAAAGCCTTCAAAAGACTCCAGAAGAGGGTCAGTCAGCTATCCTGCTGCCTCTGGAGGGGCGGGAGGAGGGGGGAGCTCATCTATCCTGCTGTGTCTATATCTCAGTGCTTGAAACCCAGAGCCTTGAAAAGCTTTGCACTGGGTACTTCAGTCTCTCCCATGGCTCCTGGCTCTGTGCTGCCTTAGGAGACAGACCATGTTCATCTAAGAATTTTACATTTCTTTGAAAAGATCAGAAGGTACATAAAGTATTAGAAAGACTTATGCAATAGGGTTGAGTACAATCCAAGTACTTGTAGAGTAGCCTAGAGGATTGGAGGTATCAGCAACAACTGAAGTAGCCTGGCTTCTGTCTGTCACTGGCAGCTGCCATGCCCATCCCTCCTGGCAACAGATAGTTTCTTGTGCTCTCATCTCACTACCAGAATTTGGTCATAAATGAGGTCTCTCTGCCTCTGGGATGCGCACCCCCTAAGCCTGGTCTCTCTGATTCTAGAAGGACTCTTCTGTCCCACTGTCTGTCCTTACTTGGGAGTAAAGGAATTCAGTGAGCAGTAATCTAGGTCCCCATGAGGTCACTAGCACCCACATCTCTTCTTGAGTCTTGGGAAGGGGAGAGAAGTGAGTTAACTTGAAAGGTCCTGAGAGGCTGAAAATACAGTCCAGCCCTTGCTATACAGTAGATGATGCAGTGAAGGCTACCATCTCTTCTTCCCAGCTCCAGTCCCCAGTCCCCCAGACTTGACAGAAGAGGAAACCTCCACTTCTTTTTTTTTTTTTTTTTTTTTTTTTGGTTTTTACGAGACAGGGTTTCTCTGTATTGTTTTGGAGGCTATTGGTCCAGCCTGGCCTCGAACTCACAGAGATCCGCCTGCCTCTGCCTCCCAAGTGCTGGGATTAAAGGCGTGCGCCACCACCGCCCAGCAAGAAACCTCCACTTCTCTAGTCCTTCAGACTGAGAGTGGAATTGTTCCTGGTGACTGGCTCACCATCATATGTCTTGGTCTGCTGAGTCTCCTTGTGCATGAAGATAAATGGGTAGGGCCGAGACTGCAAGACATCCCTGATCAGAATGCGGATACCCAATGAGATGCTCATGGTGCCCACAGTGACCAGCCCAGTTCCACCAAGGATCACCAAAGCAAGAGCCAGCTGGCAGTGCTGCTGCAGCAACCACAGGCTCATCCATCCCAGAGGTAGAAGGCGGAAGAGGGCCAGAGTGGTCAGGGTGGCCCAACTGGTTACTTTGAAGGCCAAGGATGAGGCCTTTTGGGAAAGCAGCAGCAGCTTCCGTAGATGCAAACAGATGGAGTTCAGCTCCAGAAGTAGAGACACCATAGCGAAGCCCACAAAGTGGCCAGACAGAACCGCAGTACTGAGGCAGCTCACTACCTAGGGGCAAGGTTCAAAGTCACACCTTCATGACCTGTGTCATCAAGTCCTGACATCCTAATCCTTATTCTGGGGACTCTTAAGCATTTTGTAGGACTCCCTCCAAACCTGACCCTTATCTAGGGGGCATGAGCATCCTTCACCCAGAGGCTCTCTCACTCTGAAGCTACACTATTTGCATAGCACACCCCAGCTTTCATTCCTGGCTTTTTCCGCCTCATCCCGACACCCTATGAGTCCATCCTCTCAGCCAAACTCTGTACCAATGTTTTCCTGACCTGTTTGTGGGGGATCCAAACTCCTTGGGTGGTGCCCAGACTCCAAACTGTGGCCAGTAGTCAAAACCTCCCTCCAGTTCAGAACAAGGCTGGGAAGATAGGTTTTCAGAGGACTTTGAGGGAAGGCTGAAGAGGGGTTGGGCCCTCAAGTTGGGAGTGCTTCCTGTCTGGCCTCTCCCATCAATGTCTCACCACCAAATGATGACAGAGAAGGTCCCAAGCTTGGGCCAAGGTCCGATTCCACAGCATGTCAACTCCATCCGCCAGGAAATAACCTGTGAGCACGGGGTAGGGTTTTCAGGCTCCTCCTCAGAGCTGGTGCACTTTTCCCAGGTCCTTAATTCCTCACAGCAAACCTGCAGCAACATCTGTTCCATTCCAAAGCGGGGGAGGGACCTAGAATTCCCGTTCCAACACTACCTTCCGTGGCCCAGACTGTTCTGTACACTCACCCACTGACACTGCTACTAGGCCCACTGCCCATGACGGGTGGCCATGAATCGGGTCGGTGACCATCTGAGGATACAGCCACAGCCTGGGAAGATGGGGAGCTAAGGTCAGTTTCTCTAAGATCTAGATTCATTCTTCCCCTGGTACTCCCACCCATGCGCAACCCAACCCCGCTCCAGATTTTAAAGACCTCGCATCTATTCTAAAAGGTACCCACCCAGTGTTCCAACCTCAGTTTTCCACGCCTCATCTTCACCCCCGCCCCTCAGTGCTTCATCAATCCCCAAGTTCCGCACCCGACCAGCGCCCCTGCTCCAGAGAGCAGGCTGTGCACCAGCGAAACGAAAATGTTCCGCCACATCCAGCGGTCCCGAGCAGATTCCGGGGTGGGCAGCAGCTGCAGTCCCCAGTGCAGGCCCCGAAAAGCCGCGAAGGAGGCACCAGCCACAAGGAGCCCCCAGGATGCCATGGTCTGGCAGGTCAGCTAGGCTTCAGTTTGTGCTTTTGATCCTCGTGTCCGAGACCTCGAAGGGCTTTTCCAACCGGCTGTGTCCGGGGCTTCCTAGCCTGCCTTGCTTTCCCAGCATGTTGTAACTTTGTCTTGCTTGTCCACGCCCCTATCCCTTGGCTGGGCAGTGATTGGTGCGGTTGTGGGGCCACCACCCGTGGAGCCATATAAGCAATGGCGTCCCACACCTGCCTGGGGATAGCGATTTGGGGGGTCTCGGGCATCAAATCAAGCTCAGAGGCCTTCCTGCACAACACTAGAAGTCTTTTCCAACGACACAAGTCTCCAGACCCCTCAGAGTTACAGAAAGCGATCTAGTCTAGCCTTACCTGACAGATCTGGGGCTCCGCCCACTAACTTTTACCTGTTCTGGTTTACTCATCTTTCACCTACTGGTCATCCTTACCCACAGCCAAACGTAGAAAGCCAGCGTAGCCAACCCCTGAGGGCCCAAACCTTGCCCCAGGTCAACTTTACCTGAGAGCATGGTTAGTTAGGCAGAGGTAATTCCCTCACATAGTATTCCCCAAGCAGAAGAGTCCTTCCCCGCCCGTCCCTCGCCCCATTTTGGAGGAGTTCATTGGGGGATCCCTTCCCGTTTTTGTTTGTTTGTTTGTTTGGTTTAGAGACAAGGTTTCTCTGTATTGTTTTGGAGGCTGTCCTGGAACTTGCTCTGTAGACCAGGCTACCCTGAAACTCAGAGATGCACCTGCCTCTGCCTCCCTGCTGGGGTTAAAGGCGTGCACCACAGAGGGCCGGCTGGTTCCCGTTTTTTTTTTTTTTTTTTTTTTTATCCCTACTGGGGATCTTTATTAGGCAAGGGAGGCCAATGGAAATCACTACTGCTACCTCATACTTGCATACTTGAAACGCATTCTCCTTCCCTCCCCAGGTCTCAAGGAAAGGCCGACTCAAAAGAGATAAACACCCACAGTAACACTGTTCGGATACTAGATGGTTTGGCCTTAAGAGGAACATCTCCAGCCCCAGATTCCCTGAGGAGTAACTGGTTTTGAGCATTTCCCTTCCTTCTTACTCTGAGCCACACCTCCTTCGCTGGCTGACAGCCAGAAAGTCGGAATGCTTCCTGTGTGCAGAGCAAGTGGGTGATTCAGTCAACTGAAAAAGAAGTTCACAGGGCTGACTTCAGTGTGGCGGAGAGCACCTGCCCAGCTTGTACAAGCCCCCCCACACACAGTCAAAAAGCAATAGGTGACCTAAACATTTTTCACCAGGCCACTAGCTAGGTACAGCCCATCCTCCCACACCTAATTCTCCAAAGTTAAAAAACAAAACAAAACAGCGAGGATTGGAGAGACGGCTGTAGTGGCTAGGAGCATGTGCAGCTCTTCTAGAGGACCCGAGTTCAACTCCTAGCATCCATATCAGATGGCTCATAACAGCATGTAACTCAGCTCAAGAGAATGTGAAGACTTCTGGCTCTGCAGACACCCGCACTCAGGTGTCCATACCCACACAGACACATAATATAAATCTTCTTTTAAAAATGACGTAGGGGGTAAGGAGTGGCTCAGAAGTTAGCACTGGCTGCTCTTGTAGAGGACCTAAATTTATTCCCATCACCCATGTGGTGGCTCACAACAGTCTAGCTCCAGTTCTACGCCCTTTTCTGACCTCAAGAGGCAGTAGGCATGGGAATGGTGCACATACATGCATGTAGGCAAAACACTCATATGCACAAAAAAATTAAAAACTACATTTACCTTTTGCAATTTATTTAATATATAAAAACAATAAACAATGTAGAAAACTTAAAATGACAGAAAATCAAGGGGAAAATTCACAATTGCTCTATCCCACCACCCACAAATCACCCTTGTCAACATTTGGAGTCTTTCAGTCTTCTTTTTGTAGACCTATGTATTACAAGCATGCACTCATATTTTAAAAACAAATTGTTTAACAAACAAAATTAAGGTGACAAAACTCATTTTTTATAATCTTTTTAATATTCAAGAGCATTTTTCTCCATGACTCTGGACAGCCATGCAGTCCTCCACCATCAGGATGAGCATAATTCACTTAAGCAATGCCCTACTGCAAACTTTATTACACGAGAAAAGGGATGGATTTCCAAACAAGCAGTTTCTTTCCATTGTTCTCTGTTGTAACCCTGAGATGAACATTTTTTAACCAAATCCTGATTTTAAGATACATTTCTATAACACAAAATTACAAGGCCAGGACATCTCTTACAATGCTTGACCCTGCTGCCTGCAATTATGGGAGTGTTCTTTTGCCACATCATGATCACGGAAAACGATTTTGGTGATGTCTGCCTTCTTCCAATTACTAACGAATACGTTTTTTTTTTCCTCCTTTTTTTTGAGACAAAAGTCTCATGTAGCCCAGGATGGCTCAGAACATACTGTGTAGCAGAGGATGACCTCGAATGTAGGTTCCTCCAGCTACCACCTCCAGGGATTATAGGCCTGTGCCACCACACCCAGTTTTAGCTAGAACCAGGGCTTTGGGGATATGAAGCGTTCTACCAACTGAGCTACAACCCCAGTCACAGTGTTAGACATTTGAATCTCTCTTTGAATTTGCTCTGTATTTCCTTTCAGAGGTGGCCATGCTCCTTGAGGGTGCTTATATAGAAACTGCAGGGTAGAGAAGAGATGGGACCATGCTTCATCATGGCTCTTCATCTCCAAGGGAGGTAGGTCTGGAGAGGAGATGGCTGGAAGCTTGTCTTTCACTGAGGCTGGCTGCTCTCTTTCCTGGTGTTCTCCAGACTTCTATGTGCCCCTCTGACCAATGTCTGGGATAGGCCCTTGCGGCTCCAGGCCAGGTCCTTCACTGGTCTTCTGCCTGCCTCTGTGTTTCCAGGCTGCCCTTCCTCGCCTCTGAGGCTCCATGTTGGATGAAGATGGCAGAGCCATGAACCCAGTGCTGGAGGGACACACTGTGGCCAGTGAAGCGAGGAGGGGAAGAAAGCAATGTCGAGGGACAGAGCAATCTTTGTCGCAATGTGTGAGTAGACTCGGACTCCCAACCCCCTCTGCTGCAGTCCCTCACACATGACACCCCTCATCTCAAGCTGCTGTAGGACGGGGTTGTGTGGTCTATTCTCCCCTCTGACTTTCAGTTTCTCATAAGTGGAGAATAGGCTAGGACTCCTCCGCCCTTTCCCTGCAAAGCAGAACAAACAGCTTCCTATAGCAGCCCCTGAACCCATCTTCTGTTAGGGAGACTGGGCCAAAGCTGAACCACTATCAGAGCCCAAGCCCAAGCTCAAGAATGAATCAGGAGCTAGAGGCAGCAGAAGGGACTCAAGTCATACAACCCATCTCCCCTGCTGGCTGGAGGAGACAATTTGTTGCCTGCACAGCACTGAGCTGAGTCCCACTATCCTGGAAAGCAAAGGCAGAAAATAAATGGCAGTGGTTGCTAGGACCCAATCAGGAGCTCGAGTCTTACTTGGGGGGGAGGGGAAACCTTGGGTCACCCATGCATAATGAGAAGTCAGCATAGGACTAGCCTCCCACCAGCTCTTAATCTTTCCCTCCACTCCAACCCCCAGAGCTGGGTGTGTAGTCAGGGGGTGGGGGAGGGACAACAATTTGTATGAAGAGCTGTTTTGTTTCCACCCACAGGAAGAGAAGAGGCCAGGCTCTGAGTCAGCCCAAGTGGACTTCTGATGCCCTCCTGCCTACACATCTATGGGATTCCCCATTTCAAAGGTGGAGAAATAGACAGGTTTAAGGATCCCATAGAGGTAAGTACCCCTAAATCCAAAATCTGGACCAATCTAAAAACAAATACAGAGAAAGGAAAAACGCACGGATGACTACTTAGATCAGAATTTGGTGTCACCTTTCCCATGAGTACTTTTACTTTTGGACCTCACGTGAAAGGAAAGTTGGGGGGGGGTAAGAAAGACAGCCCTATTAGGAAGTCTTGATAAACAGGTAGACAGACTTTCCTTCCATCTCTTCCCATTGCCACACAGAGATCAACTAACCTTGAGGAGGTGGAGTTACCTATTCCCCAGTTTAGTCAGGGCCTTTAACCTGAATCTTTTGCTGGGCCGGTGTGGGTAAGGGCTCCCCAGAGCAGAGTTTCCCTTCCTTAAAGTCATCCATCACCCCTGCTGTCCAGCCATTCCCAACCCCCCAGTTCTGTCACCTTCCCGATGATAGGCAAAGAAGTTGCTCCTCTTCCTCCTCGAAGCCAGGGGCAGAGGGCAACAGTTCTTCAACTGGCAGCTTTAGCTGGGTCAGGACATAAAGCTCGCCACTGAAGAACTACTGCGGCTCAGCCAGGTGAGGGCGTGGGAGGCTCAGGTTCCTAAACGGAAGGGAGGAGAAACAGGAAAGCTCGGAATCGGGCTGGGCGGCAGGGACAGTGACCCACTAGCTCTAGCTGACTTTCAATACCTTTGGCTCTTGAATGAGAAGCAAGAGACTTCTAAATGCACTTTTCTTGCCCTGCTTTACAGACCAAGAGGCACTAGTGACCCTGGACAACTGGTTGAGAATTCCAGCATCTTCAGCATTCAAAGGGCAGGGTCTAGAACCCAGGTCCCAGGTGAAAAATTGTACTTCATTTTGTGAGGTCTGTAATCAACTCAACTGACTTGTTCTTAGTGAATTCTGCTGGAAGGAGGGTTTGTGGAGGATTAGAATGGGGAGGAGGGCTAGAGTTTGGAAAGTCAGCAGGGGCTCTGAGGAGTATGAGGGAGAGGACAGCTGACCAGAGGCAGGAGAGGAGGGATGTAGGGCAGGGTGGCTGGGCAGCTTCCTCAGGACTCTGAGATGCCAGGCATTCCGCTTGCACATTCCGGGTACATCTGGTATGAATTCCAAGCTGTCTGCCGGCCCCTCCACGTCTGAACTTTGTTCCAAGTTCCAAGCCCCGCCCCCACAGTTTCAACGCATGAATCAGCAGGAAAAGTCGGGCCCTGCAGCATGGCCCAGGGAGGGGGCTGGGGGCGTGGCAGGCTCGAGGGCTCTGAGCTGGAGAGGGTGGTTCTGCACAGTCAGTCCAAGGGCATGGCCACTGCCAGACTGAGGGGCCAAGGAGATTTTGTCTTGGGATTTCTATATTCAGGGGTGGAATGATTACGGTGGGGTTGGCAATTTTCACATTCCAGAAGTCTCTTGGGAAGCATAAACTTTGCGGTATCTTTCTTCTCTTAGGTGATCAGTCTCTGTCCACTCCTCTCTGCCCAAGTTGACTCTGTTCAGCTACAGGGTTCACTGGCTGCTGAGAGTTTGTGCCAAGCAGGTGCCCTTGGCTGCCTGGCGGGGTGGGCCCAGGGCACTGACCCTCTGACCAGCTGCTCCATCAACCCTCTGGCACCATGACAGCTCCTAGCCTACTGACAGCCAGGATGACAGGCCAAATGAGTTGGAGGCTGAAACTAGGGCCAGAGGGAGGTGGGGACGTTAGCCTAGCCGGGAGGCCCGTGGGGAGGGGCCAAGAGTTGGCCAGGAGGTGGGGAGAGAGGGAGCCCAGCGATGACTAACCCAGGCGCCCCACCCAGCCAGCCGGCTTCCCAGGCGGTCATGGCCAAGCCGGGGCTAGGGGCCTCACCACCGGACATACTGGGGGGAGGTGCAAAGGTGACCTTCTCTCTGTCCAAGACGGCCAGTTAGGATGGGGGAGGGTGCGGGTAGAGTTTCCAGGCCCTCCTCCTGTCCGCCCCCCAACCTCCGCCCAACCGCGGTGAAACCCTAACCTTTGGGTTGCATAAGGCCTCCGCACCGCCGCCCCCTACTCCTTTCCCCTCCCCCCTTACATAACATCCCCGGGAGGAAACGAGAGGAGGGGCCGGCCCGCCCAGCGACCCCTTCCCTGCCAGGGACTTGAACTAGCCCTGACCCAGTCAGCTCCAGTAGAGGCAGTGCACCTTCACACAACTCGCTCTCCCAGATTCTCCCCAGGCTAAATGGTCAGTTCCCGGAATCTCAAACCAGAGGGCATCAGGGTTAGACGCCCCCAGCCCTCGGCCTCTCATCTTCTTCCCCAATTACCTCTCTAGACCTTCTGCCACGATTCCTGTCTCTTTAAACCCTCTCTTTAAACATCCAGACACACTACTCAGGCCAGTCCAGGACTCTCTCCCGGGAGCGTCTCCGTGCCCGCCGCCCCCTCTCCCCTCCCCCAGAAGGGCAGGGTGTGGTCGCTAGGACCCTACTTTCCCCCATCTTCCTGTTACGACGATTCCCTCAGGAATGACCGGCTCCCCAGATCACACCCACCTGATGCTGGGTGTGGGGGTTGCTGAGGAGAGGGGAGCAAAATCACTGCGTCCTCTCCGCACGGCCGACCGCTCTGTCTCTACCCAGCGCCCAGCACACACCGGCTCCAGTCTCCGATCAGCTGGCGGCGTCGTGACGCACGAGCTGCGAATGCACCGCCCAGGGCCAATCACCGCCCATTGCTGGGCAACGTGACCACACCCACTCGGGGGGCTCCAGCACCTCTGCTTACTCCCGCCCCTCCCGGCGTCTGGGCTCTGATTGGCAAGGAGGCCACCCCCTTGCCCGGAGGAACTGCTCTAAGCCACGCCCAACAACTCATCGGTTGGCCAATAGCTGAAAAGGTGTGGCTAGTCCTCGGCCTAGGCAACTTGCTTAGACCAGTTCTACGTCAAGCAACAGTTTAAAGAGCAGAAGGAAGTGAAGGCGTGTGTTTTAGCAGTGCATCCTGGTTAATGAAGTTCTTACGATGACACTCGGCTTCCCAGAATGCAGCGCGCTCTGTGAGTTGGCATTTTTAAACTGATCTCTGAATCCGTCGCGGGGAAGTCCTTAAAGGGCTACAGCCCCTCCTTCTTGGAACTTTTAGACAACCTCGGAACTGATTCACCAGCCTCCACAGAAGGCCTAAGTTAAGGGAAGGTGGAGTTCGCGAAGCAACAGATTGGGCAGAACTGAAGATGGAAGTCAGCCACTGATGCAGCAGAACTCCCGAGGGCTTCGGGGTACAAGGACGACTGTCACCCGCATAACCCCAGCCTTCACTGGAGAGCTAGTCTACCTTTAATGGGTCTAGTGACAGGACTCTTTTCCAATTAATGTCCTAGTCGCCTAAGAGCCCACGACTTCTCAAGGGGCAGCTTCCTAAGAAAGGGTTCGTAGCATAGCCCTCACTTTTTAGAGAAGGCTTCTGTTTAGAAATCAAGGGAAGATCTGTGGCCAATACCAGCCAGAAACCCCATCCTCCGATTAACACCCATTCAGTCCCGCCCTCCCAAAGCGCTTCACTGACTCAGGCCTACTCAGGGAAGTGATTTCAAAGGAGAAGACCAATGAAGAGGCTGCTCCTTCCCCAGGGGCCAATCAGAGTATGAAGAGCGGGGGATGGGCAAAAACTGAAATGAACCCAATGACTTGGCAAAAGCTGCCGAATTGCTTATTTAAAGGGACAAGCCAGGGACCACCTCATCGCTCCCTTCTCATCCCCAAAGAGGAACTTGTGGCCTGGAGTTCATGACTTTTGCACGATCTCTAAATTCAGGGCGCGGAGAAATGAGAGGGGAGCCCGAGGTGGCTCCTATGTTAAGTATGGACTCCACTAGGTGACTGCTAAGGTTCCTTCAAACTCCCAAGTGCCGCGTTCAGGACGTTGTGCCTTTAAGGAGACTTCCTGCCTTCCGCCCCAGTAACAGCTGATGATTGTTCGACCCCAGGGGACGAGTCAGCTTTAACCACATCCTCCTTGTCTGTCTTCTCCATCTCCTTTTCTCCGACATCCCCCCCCCCCCATGGGTGGTAAGGGAAGGAAATGGAACCCCAAGCATGGAGGGGGGTTATGCTCTTCCACGATCTTTTCTCTTCTCCATCACTCCAGGATTACCACCCACCCCCAACATCGTTTCTCAGAGTTCTGAGGAGATTGGAACCAGGATATGTTTGGTGGGGAGGCCACTCCTGGAGAGCCTGCTATGATGGCCCCCTGAGTGTGGGTGCCCAATAGGCTCCTGGGGATGGTACAGGAAAGCAGCCCAAGCCTAGAGAAAAGGAAAGGTTGTGGAAAGCCAGCGTGGTGGGTGAGAGCCCTGTTTCCTGTGCTAGCTGCCCCTTACTCGCTGTTTCGGTTACCTGACCCTTCCTAGGACAGGTAGCTGATGGGGTCCTCCTGCATTTGCCTACTTACTCCATTTCTGACTTCTTAGGGGCCACCCCCTTCCGCAGCAAATGTACCAATATTTTGTTAGCTCAGGTACTGCAGGAACACACTGGTCTAGAAGCCAGAGTCGTCTTCTGGGAATTCCTACAGGAAGACCCAGGTAAATACGTTGCTCCAGCTCTGTGCTGGGAGTCAGGGTCACTCCAGGACAAACTCAGTGGGAAGTCCCAGGACTGACTTGGCAGGGTTGGGGGAAACTGAGCAGGGCTCTGGCCAAGCTTGGAAGAAAGGGGAGTTTCAACAGGCTGCTCTATGCTCCATTATCCCTAGCATAGGAGTCCCATTCCCTCCTCACTTGAGACCCTTGTGGTGGCCCTTCTGCATTTCATTCCACTCTCTAACCTCCTCCCGCCCACCTCAAGACCAAGAGCACAAGTTTCAGGCTGAAATTTCTCAACCTTAGCACTGTCGATATGTTGAGCCAGATAATTTCTTATGTACGTGGCTGTCCTGTGCACAGTCGGAAGGTCAGCACTACCCTGGCTTCCACCCTAGATGCCAGCAGCACATGATCCCAATTATAACTACCAGAAGTGTCCCCAGCTTTCCTCTGAGCAGTCCAAATAGACCCTAGTTGAGAAGCTCTGAACTAGGCAAACATTCATATTCCAGTGCTGACTGGCAGTGAGCTGAGGAAGAATATTTTCTTCATCTGCGAAACAGTGTAAATAATAAAGTATGGTTTCTTGTAGGGACTTAAGAAGAAGTTGTTTGAAGCCACCTAGCACAGTAGAAATCCACCAGACCCACAGCTGACACACTCACTGTCAGCGTATTTCTTGCTGACCTCACTTGGCATGGGCTGGTGGCCCACAGGCAGCTGCCGTTTCCTTCAGTGACTAGCCAGAATGTGTACTTCTGGGAACACGGTATTAAAGTAGGCAAAGGGGAGTGGCTAGTTCTCAGTCCAGATTCCCCAAAGCCCAAGGGTGCTTGAACGGGAATTCAGGAGATAACAGGTGAGGGAGAGGGAAATTGGGAGAAGAGTTACAGAACCTTATTTTATTACTTTCTTTTGTTGTTGTTGTTTTTTTTCGTTTTTTTTTTTTTTTTTTTCTCGAGACAGGGTTTCTCTGTGGCTTTGGAGGCTGTCCTGGAACTCGCTTGGTAGTCCAGGCTGGTCTCGAACTCACAGAGATCCGCCTGCCTCTGCCTCCCGAGTGCTGGGATTAAAGGCATGCGCCACCAACGCCAGGCTCTTTTGTTGTTTTTCAAGACAGGGTTTCTCTGTGTAGCTTTTGTAGACCAGACTGACCTCAAACTCACAGAGATCCACCTGCCTCTGCCTCCCGAGTGCTGGGACTAAAGGTATGTGCCACCACACAGCTAATTATTATCAGTGATGGTCGTGGTGGGATCTTATTCATATGAAGCACACCATTCATCACAGTTATACCCCTGACCCCAAAGCCTTACTTTCCAAAATGTGCCTTGAATATCTGTGAATCAGAGCTACCCAGGTTGCTCAACAACAGCTCAGCTCCAGGGGCTCATTCCAAACCAAGTCAGAAGTACACCGTGAAGTTAGTTCAGGGGTTGAGCACTCGCTCAGCTAGCATGAAAAAAGCCTTGGGTTCACCTCCGCAAGATAACAAAGCCAAGTTTTCTAAAGTTCAGATAAGGAAGGTGCAGTGTCTTAGAAATCTCAGTGAGCCAGGTCCCAGCCTTGAAAGGACATAGAACAAGAGGTAAATTTAAATACATTCAAGATTACTATTGTAGTATACAGCCAACACCACTAGAGGGCAGGGCATACAGACTTGGAGAAAAGTTTTTGTTCAGTTTGGATAAACAGAGACCAGAGCAAGGACCTTTCAGATCCAGTTCTGTTGGTACCAAGGCACAACCTTCGGACCATCAAAATGAGCCCTCACAGAGGGTAGTAATGAGGGAACACTTGTTATCCCAGCACTTGAGAGGTGATGGCACACGAATTTAATCCCAGCACTCAGCAGAGACTGGCAGATCTCTGTGTTTGAGGCCAGCCTGGCCTGCAGAGAGAGTTCCAGGACAGCCAGAGATACATAGAGAAACCCTGTCTAGAACCATATCCCCCACCCCCCAAAAAACAGAGATGGAGAGATGGCTCAGTGGTTAGAAGCACTGACTGCTCTTTCGGAGGACCTAGGTTCAGTTCTGAGCACCCACATGGCAGCTCACAAAGGTCTGTAACTCCAGCTCCAGGAGATCCATCAGCCTCACAAAAACATAATACATACAGGAAAAACACCAGCTTACAGAGGAGGTTGGAGGATCTTGAATTCAAGACTCATCTTGGATACACATCAAGATTCCAATGTTAAAAAAAGGTTCTTGGGGCTGGAGAGATGGCTCAAAGGTTAAGAGCACTGGCTGCTCTTCCAGAGGTCCTGAGTTCAATTCCCAGCAACCACATGGTGGCTCACAACCATCTGTAATGAGATCTAGTGCCCTCTTCTGGCCTGCAGACATACATGCAGACAGAAAACTGTGTACATAATAAATAAATAAATAAATAAATATTTTTTTAAAAAAAAGGTTCTTAAGCCAGGCATTGGAGGCACACACCTTTAATCCCAGCACTCGGGAGGAGAGGCAGGAGGATCTCTGGGAGTTCAAGGCCAGCCTGGTCTACAGAGTGAGTTCCAGGACAGTCTCCAAAACAATACAGAGAAACCCTGTCTCAAAAAACCAAAAAAAGAAAAGAAAAGAAAAGAAAAGGTTCTTTCCTGGATTCCACACCTAAGGTGTGTGTGGGGGGGGAGGGGTAAGCAAAAAGCAAATGAACAAACAAAAATTTCTCTGTCTCATATCTAACATGAAGATAGAGAATTTTCTCAACTGAAAAATAATAATGTCCAATTAATTAATTAATTAATTAAAAGCGAATATAAGCTTGCTTTTGTGCATATTCTCTCTCTCTTTCTGAGACAAGACCTCATTCTGTCACCCTGGCTAGACTGGAACCTTCTACATAAACTAGGCTAGCGTGGAACTCACAAAGGTTCTCCTGCTTTTGCCTCTATAGTGTTGGCATTAAAGGCAAGCACCATGCCTGGCTCTCTCGCTCTTTTTCTTCCTTTTAAATGTTTTCTTCTGAGTGTGAACATTTTGATTGCATATGTGTATGTGCACTATGTGAGTGCCTGGGACCCATAGAGTCCAGAAGAAGGTGCCAGATCTCCTGAAAGTGGAGTTACAGATGACTGTGAGCCATGCAGTGTGGGTGCCAGGAACCAAGCCCAGGTCCTCTGTAAGAGTTACAAGTACCCACTAAGCCATCTCTCTAGCCCCTACATTAACTTTTTTTGTGTTTTTTACGAGACAGAG